TTGCAAACCAATTAACCACACAGCTCCTCTTGAGCTTGTAGATTAATTCAACCAAGTTTCTTCAAGTTGATGAATTATAATCACTCTTGTGTACAAAGGAAGGTTCACCTCCTCCTTGCCCCGAACTCCACTCGGTCAAGCCAGGATGTTTTACTATCCCTCAGGACAACCCTCACAGAGCTACACTCATTAAGTATTCGCTCACAAATGAAAAGCTTACAATGAACCTCACACCACTAAGACTACAAATCTTCTTTGAAGAGTATTTTCTCACTAAAATCTCTCTAGATCTTTTGTATCTTCAGTGTGCCAAAATTGTTTGAAATATCTGACCAACCACTATTTATATAGAGCCAAAAAAGTGCCTCATTAATGCTTCCAATGGATAGAAAGTAGCTGAACAGTCAACTATCCGTTGGCAGTGTCGGACGTCCGGTAGCCCTGTTTTATGCGTCCGACAGTAGGTAGAGAGTTTAAGAGATTTTCTTCAATTCTTTCGGACGTCCGGTAGGCTGATTTTCTGCGTCCGAAGTATGATGTAAAACTAGGAATTTTTCTTCAATTCCTTAGGACGTCCAGTAGGCTGGTTTTCTGCGTCCGAAGATATTCAATGGTTGTCGGATGTCCGATGCAGTCTTTTTGAGCGTCCGACAGCTTTCAACAACCTTTGTCTTCTTTCAATAGCACTTGTTCATGGAATCACATAACTTCATAACTGAAAATATTTCTTGGAGAGATATTAGTATCATCCATTTATTTTGTAAACATCAAAAGATAGGGATCAAGATCAACACTTACAATTTCTACAATACAATTTTGATTTTAATTTGACAAGAAAACAACATAAAAAGCCTAAATTAAGGCAAAAAAACCCCTAAATGAAGAAAAATACTTCAATGCCTGTAAAGCTCAAAACTCCAAAAATTTTAGATAATTCAATATTTTCGGACCTTGTGCCAGCTACAATCACCTATTTTGACGAAAATATGAACAAAGGATTCACTAACTTAACTCATATTTTCTTTGTGGCATTTTATCAAACACAAACAAGGCATTTACAAGGCCATTTCTCTTTTCTTAATTTTTGTTCATGGCTTATTCCAAAAAAATACAACAACACCAGCAACCAATTTATTTCACAAAACCCACAAAATTATTGATCATCAAAGTCGAAGAAAAGAAGAAAAAAAAATCGAACCAGTTTGCATTAAATAAGGATAAACTAAATCTTTGCCAAATTTCTAGGAGCTATCTCGTTGGAATCAAAGCAAAAAATAGGAGAGACTTACAGCGGTTTTACAATGGAGATTATTATGGCAGTGGTGGTAGTAATGGCACTAGCGGTGGCTTTCATCTGGAAGCCTGGAAGAAGCTCTCAACTAAGAGTCCTCTTTTCTTTCATCTGTCAGTGTTTTTTGTTGGGAGCTCCAGGAAAGGCCGAAGTGGGGAGAGAGAGGAGCATTCCCTTTTCTTTTTCCCCTCCTCTGTTTTTGTCCTCTGCCCATTGAGAGAAATCAGCCAAGGCCAAAAGAGAGTTTTTGAGGGAGGAAAAGTGTAGTGTTTTCTTTTTTTTTTTGGCTTGTCTTGTGAGAGAGAGAGCCGAGAGATGTATATTAGGAGCCAAAAGTGGAGTTTGTGTGTTTGGTAAGTCAAAATGATGGTTTTCCAAATAACAAGAAATATGCATGAAATAACATGATGGATTTTTACCAAAATGAGAAGAAAGATCAAATAAGGATGGAGCGTAAAAATGGGTTAATCGTGGTTTTGGTGAAACAAAAATGATTAGGATGATTTTTGATTTCTTGATTTTCTTCTTTCTTTTTTTTTTGTTTGTTTATTTTTCTTTTTCCTAAAATAAACCTGCAAAAATGAGAAAAATACACATTAAAATGTAAGAAAATAAATAACTCATTAAATAGAAAAAATTCAAGAAAATATTAAAATTTAACAAAAATTTGGTGTCTACAACTTACTCCTCTTTATCTAGACTTTCGAAAAAACTCAAGACAAAGACATAGACACCAAAATGCTCACCTGCTTCTTCTACCTGCACCTGAGCTAAAACAATCAAGCCAACATTTGGCTATAATTATTGGGTAAAAATGATGCAATAATGTTACAAAAGACCTGACCGAACTCATATAGAGTTACCTATGTATTCCGTCATAGGAATCAGGTCAAACGTAGTTCGAATATAAGTGAACCACAATGAAACAAGTACATTGACCATCTGTGATATTTGCAAAGTCAAAAAAGTTTGAGCTCTCAGAACTTCTAACACATGAAATACAAAATGAATGATAAAGCACAATTATTAATCAAATAGTCAAGAAAAGTGGGTTGTCATGATTTAGAAAAGATGCGTGGAGAGGTGCCGTTACGCTCCAAAAAGAGATGTAGAAGAGTGCGCGATGGACGTTGAGACTCATCAATAGAAAATTAAATTTGATTGTCCGGAAATAACAGATTGATGGGATATGACCCAAGCCCAATAAAATAAAATGGTCAGTAGGATTAAACCCAAACCTATCGAGGTTGGTGAAAACGGTCAGTGGGATACAGCCCAAACCTGCGGAGATTGGTGGGATAAAACCCAATTCTAATAAAAATAAAAACAGTCAGTGGGATAAAATCCAAACCTGCCGATGTTAGTAGGATAAAATTCAAATCCAACAAAATAAAAATGATCAGTGGGATAAAACTCGAGCCTGCCGAGACTGGTGGGATAAAATTCAAATCCAACAAAATAAAAACAGTCAATGGGATAAAACCCGAACATGGCGAGATTAATGGAATAAAACTCAAATCCAACAAAATAAAAACGGTCAGTGAGATAAAACTTGAACCTGCCGAGGTTCGTGGGATAAAATCGAACCCAACAAAATAAAAACGGTCAGTGGGATAAAATCCGAGCCTGCCGATGTTGGTGGGATAAAATTCAAGGCCAACGAAATAAAATGGTCAGTGGGATAAAATCTGAACATATCGAGATTGGTGGGATAAAATTCAAACCCAACAAAAATAAAAATAATCAGTGGGATAAAACCCGAGTCTGCCGAGATTGGTGGAATAAAACTCAAACCCAACAAAAATAAAAACGGTAAGTGGGATAAAACCCGAGCCTTCCGAGATTGGTGGGATAAAATTCAAATCCAACAAAAATAAAAACGGTTAGTGGGATAAAACTCAAGTCTGCCGAAATTGGTGGGATAAAATCCAAACCCAAGAAAAATAAAAAAAAATGAAGAAATGAAAACACAAGTTCTATGTTGTCGAACTGAAAGATCAGAATGCATGTTGCTCAAAAGGTAATAATCCAAGAAAAACTTAATTTGTGGACTTACAACTCTTTTGATTTTTTGAACTTTAAAAGAAAGGAAATAATGATTTTTCTCTTCTTTATTCGGAAATGTACAGCGGAGCTTGAAACTCAATCCTTCTACCGTTTGCTCCAGTGTGAATCATGCTCAACAAAACCAGTATTGTGTCATATAGTTTTTTCTGGAAAAAGGAAAAAAGGAAAAGAAACAACTGTGATAGAAACACTGCCACCACCATGTGATCCCTTTGCCTTGAGAGCCGTGTAAACATGAGTTTCAATATCGACAAATCGCTCCCTTAGGTTTGGTCGAAAACCCCTCCAAAATCTTTGCAATTGTCAAATGTCAATTATCCATGCTTTATTATCATAGGACCTTCAATTTCCTGACTCCTTTGGGACAAATTATAAGGGATTGTCTTTTGAGTAAGACACAATAAATGAGAAATATAAACAATTGAAAATTGTAATATTTATCATACAATAATGCTGATATGAAATAAACAATTATACATAATAAATAAATAAAATAGTAAATAGAATAGTAAAATAAAATTGTTGAATTTATGAACATAGATCCAAGGATCAAAAGTTGAATTCATATTTAGAGGACGGCCTTTGATGAAGAGAAATACTCCATTTGACCTCTTCGACGTCATCCATTTTGAAATTCATTATCGGCAAAAGAACAACAATATGAAAGAGACCCAAATCAACATAGTCACCAGCTTTCAAATCTCAGCATCTTCTTCTGCGTTCATGATCCTCTTGTATTCCAAAACCCTACCTCAGCGCCCTTTCAGGTTTTCACTAAAGTTACCCTTATCCCTTTTTCTTTTTCTTTCTTTTTTTTCTTCTTTTTTTCGTTTTTTTTCCCTTTTTTTTCCTTTTTTTTATTAGAAGGTGCCCTTTCACGTTTTTACCTTGATACATAGACAAGATAATTTAAACCCCAACTGTATCAATCCAGTCATATTTTGAGAATTTGTGGCATCAGTGAGATAATCATCTCTGACAATTTCAGAAAAGTTGTATTTATATCATTTGCCAATTGATTAAGAAAAATTTTTCTCAAAGTACTGCAAAAGATGAAAGTTAGCAATTTTGGCTCTTGTGATTAGGATCGGATAGAGTAATAAAGGAAATGTTAAGACTTGAAATGCTTGAAAGGCTTGACAGCGGATCATATGATGGCTTTGCAATCATTTGAAATAGCATTCTTTAGAAAAACTTGCTCCGGTCTAGGGTTGGAAAAAGATAAAATTTTGCCCCAATTTAATTCTAACCAAATTTCTCTATTTTCTTTTGTTTTCTTTCTGCTCTCTTTTTCTTCTTCTTTTTTTTCTTTTTTTATTTCTCTTTTCTTTCTTTTTTTTTTTCAATGAAACAAAATTACCCCAATATAGGGTTAATGATCTTAAGGGACTGCCAAGCGAAAAAGGAAGGTGACTCTGAAAAGTCGAAAGGAAAAAGTTAGAGATAGGATATCGAAGTGGAGAAATGGGAGAGAGTCTGCCTTAAATCCGTCTATTGCAGTAATTTTAAAGGAAAATTTTTATAATCAAATGAAAAACTTTTTGCACATGTCTGCATTGATTGGTTGGAAAAAAACTTGACCGTTCATTTCCATAAGGATAAGCACTCCTCCAGATAGCACTTTCTTAATAATAAATGGTTCTTACCAATTGGGAGCAAATTTTCCTTTAGCCTCCTCTTGCATTGGAAGAATCCGTTTTAAGACATTTTCTCCAACTTCAAACAAACGGGGCTTAACCTTTTTGTTGTAAGCTCGAGTCATTCGTTGCTGATAACATTGTCCATGACAAACAGGATTCAACCTCTTTTCATCAATTAGGGACAACTGCTCATAGCGTTCCCTGATCCATTCAGCATCTTCTATCTGAAATTCCATTAAAATGCGTAAGGAAGGAATTTCAACTTTTGCAGGCAATACTGCTTCCATTCCATACATAAGAGAGTAAGGAGTTGCTTTGGTAGAAATCCTGATAGTAGTTCTGTACGCCATCAATGTATAAGGCAGTTTCTCATGCCAATCTCGGTATGTTTCAATCATCTTACGAATGATCTTTTTCAAATTCTTATTTGCGGCTTCAACGGCTCCATTCATCTGAGGCATGTAAAAGGCAGAATTTCGATATATGACCTTAAACTTTTCACATAATCTATCCACCATGACATTATTGAGGTTCTTAGCATTATCGGTGATCAATGTCTCTGGTACGCCAAAACGACAGATGATGTTATTTCTCAAAAAATCTGACACCACTTTTTTAGTCACATGCTTATAGGATGTGGTTTCAACCCATTTGGTGAAATATTCAATCGTCACTAGAATGAATCGATGCCTATTCAAAACAGGATGATCAATTACTCCAATCACATCCATTCCCCAAATCGAACATGACCATGGAGTAGTCATGGTATGGAGTTTTGTAAGGGGAGCACGTATGACATCACCATGCATCTGACATTTTGACACACTTTCTGACAAAATCTATACAGTCGTGCTCCATAGTAAGTCAAAAATATTCTGATCTCATGATCTTCTTAGTCAGTAGATGCCCATTCATGTGTGACCCACAAACCCTGTTATGCACTTCCTTCATCATATAATCAGCTTCCTCTTCATCAATGCATCTCAGAAGGCCCAAATCAAATATTTTCTTGTATAGCACTTCTTCGTTCAAGAAGAATCTTGATGACATTCTGCGCAAGAAACTTTTTGTGACAGAATCAGCATCAGAATGGTAGGACATCGTTTTCATGAATTCTTTAATGTCATTGTACCAGGGGCGAACATCAGAGACCCTTTCCATAACCAGATAATGCGCTGGCCTATCCTGAAGTCGAATCTGTATAGGCTCAATTACTAGCTCATTTGGATGTTGAATCATCGAAGATAGAATGGCTAAAGCATCAACAAAAGCAATGCGCGTGTAGGGAATATGTCTGAGTTCCAAATTCCTGAATTTGCTGGCCAAGCTAAGCAAGTTACAATGATACAACATGATTTTTGAATCCCGACTTACCTACTGCTTAAGCGTCTGGTGCACAAGTAAATCAGAATCACTGAATGCTATTAGATCCTTGATTTCCATGTCCAATGTCATTTTCAATCCAAAAACGCAAGCTTCATACTCGGCCATGTTGTTGGTACAAGGAAACGGTAATTTGGCAATAGCAGGATAGTGGTTTCCTTCAGATGACACTAAAACGACTCCAATTTCAGCTCCAAAAGAATTTTATGCACCATCGAAAAATAACCTCTATCCAGGATACTGTTCACTCATATCCTTAACTGCTCTACTAAATAAATTTTTTTTTATCTGAAAAATAGGTATGCAATGGCTGATAATCATTTTCTCTTGGATTTTCTGCCAAATGATCTGCTATAACTTGTCCCTTGACTACCTTTTGTGTTATGAAGACAATGTCGAACTCAGAAAGGATCATTTGCCACTTAGTCATGCGTCCCATGGGCATCGACTTTTCCAATAGGTATTTTAGAGGATTAGAACGAGAAATCAGGTAAGTAGTATAATCGAGCAAATAATGTCTCAATTTTTCAGTTGCCAATGCTAAAGCACAACTTCTCTCAAGGAAAGAATAGTTGGTCTCATATGTTGTAAATTTCTTGTTCTGATAGTAGATGATTTGTTTCTTTCTCCCAGATTCGTCATGCTATCCCAGAACGCATCCAAAAGCCTTATCGAGAATAGACAAATACATAATCAGAGGTCTTCCTAACTGAGGTGGCACTAAGACTGGAGGATTTAATAAATAATTCTTGATCTTAACAAAAGCTTGCTGACAATTTTCATTCCAATCCATCGGCGCATTCTTTTTCAACAATTTGAACAAAGACTCACAGGTAGAGGTTAACTGTGCAATGAATCGGCCAATGAAATTGATCTTTCCAAGAAAATTCTTCACATCTTTTTGAGTTTTTGAAATGGGCATATGTCGAATTGCTTTTATTTTCACAGGATCTATCTCTATACCCTTTTTGCTGACAATAAAATTCAATAATTTGCCAGTTGGGGTTCCAAAAGCACATTTCGCAGAGTTCAACTTCAAATTATATCTTCTCAACCTTTTAAATAGTTTCTTTAAATTAACCAAATGGTTCACGACCTTCTTGGATTTAATTATGACATCCACATAAACCTTCATCTCTTTGTGAATCATGTCATGGAACAGGGTAGTCATAGTCCTCTGATAAGTAACTCTAACATTATTCAACTCGAAAGGCATCACTCGATAACAAAAGGTTCTCCATGGGGTGATAAAGAAGTTTTCTCTCTGTCTTCTTCTGCAATTAAAATTTGATGATATCCAACAAAACAATCATCAAAAGATTCAATTTCGTGTCTAGCAGTATTGTCCAAAAGAATATGAATATTTGGCAAAGAAAAATCATCTTTCGGACTGGTCTTATTCAGATCTCTGTAATCAACACATACTCGAACCTCCCCAAATTTTTTAGGCACTGGCACAGGATTCGATAGTCAGATGGGATAATGAGACACCATGATTATCTTAGCATTGAGCTGTTTCATAATTTGTTCTTTTATCTTGAGACTTATTTCTAGTTTGAATTTACATGGCTTATGCTTCACAGGCAAAAAATTTGGATCAGTTGGTAACCTGTGAACCACTATATCCGTAGAGATTTCTGACATATCATCATATGACCGTGCAAACACATCTTGAAATAGCATTAAGAATTCAATCATTTCTTTCTTCTGTTTTGTCGCGCCCCATTTTTTTGATAAATAAATAAATGGTTTAAAAAATGTATTTTTTGATTCAATTTGTGATTGGAAAATGAATTGTGATTTAAAAGAAAAAATGGGTCTAAATGGGGGGTTGAGAATGCGACGATTTGACCCAAAATTATAGTTTAAAAAGGGTTTTTGAAATAAAAATTGGAGTCACCACTTGGTAATGAGTTAAGGTGTACCAAGTCACCTAAAATGAATTTTTTAAAGAAAAAATAGGAAAAAGTAGTAAGAAACCCCTTTTAAACGACTCCTAGTCCACGTAAACTAAAGAAAAAGGTTCGGGAGTCACATTTGACAAAGGGGAAGGCAAGCATAAAATCCAAGGCACCTCTTTGACCTAGCCAAGGCTAGTTGCATGATTTAATCAAAGATTTTCTTGTTTTAACCAAAGAATTTATTACATTTGGATGCACTACATGAATGCAAACCCTAGACCTAGGGGTATTGGGGAAATTTCTCTTCGAAGGTTGAGTGGTGCCAATCACATTAATTGTGAAACCTAATAACGATCCTTTGAAGAAGTCACGAATAATGCGAGTGGGATGCAAATGAATGGAATGCATTTATGTAATGTGAGAACATGAGTTTGAAAAATTAATAAAAAATAATAAATATGTAAATGAAAATGTGCACGTGAGTGGGCAAGGTACGATATGTGAAATGATAATATGAAGTGCATGTGTGCAAGTGATGATAAAAGTGTTCGTGTGCAAGTGAAGAAACATAAAGGTGCATGTGTGCAAAATGGGAGGAAAAATGAAAGTGTGATGAGGGTATAAAATGGTAGAGTGGATTTAAAAATGCATGAGCCTAGGGAATTCATGCATATTGGGTACGGGGAGACCTAAATCGTGACTCAATTTGCCCTTTTATAGAGGGAATACAAGCGTGCTAAGGCTTAGAAAAAGCCACAATCGTCTATATCCCATATTTAAGGGGACTCTCAAGCAAATGAACCCTATAACTAGCATGAAATGCAAAAATCCTAAAATGGAGGGAAAAGGGGTTCGGGGGGGCATGCAAAATGATAAAACTAAAAAGAATGCATGACATGTAATGAACATGCAAACATGTACTAACGAGGGGAAATCCCTAAGGGTCTAGCGTTGGACTAGCCCATTCTATGAATTCCGACTAACGTTGGACTAGTGGAAACGTACATTCATCCATCACATTCATTCATGGCTATGGAAAGCGAGTAGACATGCCAAACACTTATAAACACATAGCACATAACATTTAGCATGCTCGACTAGATGCAAGGCCCTAACAAATCAAATTAACACGTAGCAACTAAGCATGCAAGACACATAAGACAATTAAAACCCTAACTATTACATTTGCTAGCTAGGCACGCGTCTTCGATAGGTCTTCATTGAATGCTCCTCCAATCCCTATCTATTACATTAGGGAGACCCTATTACAATCTAAAAGGGGGAAAAGGAATAAAATAATTAAATCCCTAACTATTACAAGTCAAGAGGTGTATACATACCCCATAAAGAATAACTTAAATAAAAAGTAAAAGTAAATAACATAAATAAAAGAAATTAAAGAAAGGCTAGGAAAGCAAAGTAGACATGTATTTCTCACGTAGCACGTTGGTTCACATAGGAGAGACACAAAAAGTTAAAAGAAATTATACCTCCCCCTCGATGGTAATCAAATGAAGTAACAAATGGTTTCAAAACAATAAAAAGGCTAAGGTACCACTTTATTTAAGAAAAATTAAAAGAAATGTGCAAAACAAAACTCACTTGATCATAAAACCCCTAAAGTCATGACTTAAGCGCAATTGAAACAAAGCATGGTAGTTAATTGAAGCAAACAAGCAATGAAGTTGCGCAAATTAAAATTACCAAGAACTAAATTGAGGACATTATTCAATTGGTTGGATCATAGTGGCAGAAGGGAAAACTTGAAGGGTCAAAGTGCTAAATCTGAAAGTTGTTTCATGCATGCATACGAATGGTTTCATTCATTTCTGATTGCTGATTTTCTGCCAAGGTTTTCCTTCCATTTCAACATGCAAAACGTTCACCACATGCCAAGATTCTGATTATTAATCATCAACTAAACATGTAAATTCATTGAAACGAGAAAAACGGAGCTAATCATCAAGGCTAGAAAGAAACTTAAACAGCAAAAAAAAGAGGAAGACTGCTGCAATTTATAACTTCAGCAACTCCCTTTTCCCGCAGCCAAAGTTCATGCCATTTTCCATACTCAATTTAAACGCAATTCATGCCAACAAACCAGGAAGAAACAT